CTTTCTTTCTTTCTTTCTTTCTTTCTTTCTTTCTTTCTTTCTTTCTTCCTTCCTTCCTTCCTTCCTTCCTTCCTTTCTTTCTTTCTTTCAAATTTTATTTATTTATTTGAAAGAGACAGAGCATAAGCAGGGGGAGGGGCAGAAGGAGAAGCAGACACCCCATCCCAGGACCCTGAGATCATGACCTGAGCCAAAGGCAGCCACTTAACCAACTGAGCCACCCAGAAAAGCCCCTTCCTACATGCTCTTATGTGTAAGCCCACTAGGCCTTCCCTTTCCTCCAGTACGATGTGAAAGACAAAGAGGAACAGGAACTAACATTTATCTAACACCCACTTCATGCCTAGTCGTTTCCCGGGCACTTTGCAATCACTTCCCTGCTTGTTAAGACCCACAGTCTGTCCAGGTGTTATATAAGGGAAGGAGCAGATGTAGTGGGCCTGAGGCAAACACCTGGAAGGTGCCCAGGAAAGGGACAGGCATGAAGTGGGTGACCCATGTTAGTTACTATTTCTCTTTGTCTTTCACATCTTATGGGAGGAGAGGGAAAGCCTAGTATGCGTGCACATCAGAACATGTAGAAAGACAAGAGAGCAGCAAATACATGAACACAGGAAAAATGCATGTGTTCTGAGACAGGAGACCCACAGGAGTACCTGGATGGCTGATGTAGGAAGGAGGGAGAGCATAGACTCAGCCCAGCATTACTGGTTCCAGACAGATGGGTCGCTCAGGGGAGGGGCTCACCAGGAACCAGCAGGCAGTGTGTAGCTGGGTGTGCACTGCCTGGCTCTGTCTGGAGACTAACGTTGAACTTGAGGTCCTTTCACACCAGCACAGTGCTGGGCACAAGGGAGACACAATACCATTTTTCTAAAGAAGTGGAGTGGCAGGGGCACACAGATGCAGGGGCACACAGATGCAGGGGTGGATAAGGCATAGGGAGGTTTTCTTTCACAGCCCCAAGGGTATTCTTTCTGGAATTTCAAAAAACCTACCTCCTCCTGAAGGCAGTGACTCGTGAGAAAACCCAAGCCTGTATACCTTTTCTTGTGCCTGACCCAACACATGTTACCCTGTTCCGGGTCTTAGCTTTGGGGGAGAGGCCATTTTATTTTATTAGGAAATTCAGAAGCACCAATAACTATCTCTTTATACTGAAATAAGCTCAATGGTATTAGACCTAAATTTTAAAAAATAAACACATTAAAAATATTAAAAGACAACAAAGGGGATTTTTTTTTTTTTTAAATTTCACAGTGGGGAACGATGAAGGCTGATAGGAAAAAGTCTGCAACAACCACCTGATAGAGGAATAGGCAGTTGATAAAAAAGGGAATTTAAATGGCTGGATTTATACAAGGAAAAATGCCTAGAAGCACAAAATTATAGTGAAATGTCACTTCCTACTCATTAGTTTGGCAAATTCTCAGAAGTTGGTCACACACTATGTTGATTAAGGCACTCTGGGAGTGTTAAATGGTACAGTCTCCATGCAAGGCAGATTGGCCTTCCTGCTTCACCTCTCCCTTCTCTTAGGAAAATTTCCTATGTAGTTCCCTCCTCTTGCATTTAGAGGTAAATAAGCAAATTGGTGCTAGTCACAGGTAACTCACCTCACTTCGAGGAAGGTCTCTGAGTGAGGGTGCTATGCTCAGACCATGGTGATGCCAGCCTCTTTTCCCACTCTCTTCCTTCTGGTCATCCTGGTTTTGTGTCTGCAGAGAAAGTAGGAGGCTTGCCTGGGCCTTGGGGGTCTTGGACCTTTCAGAAGCCTCTGGACTGTTATCCACATCAATGTAGCTTCCAAGAGAAACCATGGAGATGGCACTGTTCCTGCCAGGGTAGTGGAAATCTGCCCAATGAACACCAGGCCTAGGGCTCTGGGGCTTGGGACTCATGGGTTTGTAAGGCATGCCTTGGCTTCCATATGCCAGGCAACAGGCAGAACTGGAAGGAAGAGTGCAGCTGATCCCAGCCTGCTGGGCATGAGGGCTGGTGGGTGACATCAACCAGGACTTTTCAGGAAAGATACCTGTACTTAGGTACCTACTACTTTCCTGGGGGCTGGTGCATTTGATGGTTGGCTCACTTTTTCTCCTGTTATCTAGAGAAACCAAATTGCTGGGTGACATTGATGTGGGAGAATGTGGAGGTGACCAGGGATCTCCAAAAACACAGCTTTCCTTGTCTTCTACCTGCTCCTCAGAGTGACTGTTGTTCCTTGGTGGAGAAGGTCTGAGGGGATTCAAGATTTTCTGTCCCGGAACCAGACTTACTAAGGTGGGCCTTTTGGGGCCTTCTGCATCTTTGCTTTTCAGAAATGCACGCCAGGAGCTCTGCCGTGGCCTGCTCTTCTCCTTCTGGCCCTTGAAAGAACCTGGAGAGCATTCATCAGTGTTCTCTTTTTCTAAAACTTTTGACTCAAAAAAATTTGCAAAGGTCTTATGAGCTAAGGCCAACCTTGCCCTGAGCCTTTTCTCTGGAGTTTTGAGTTTCTTAGCATCACAGCTTTCAGAGGATAGGGTTCTGCTACCGAGGTCCCCTGGTGTCTCCACATTGTCCACTTCTCTCAGACCTGCAGCTCTGCCCCCTGCGCCCTGGGGGATGACCTTCTTAGAGGTGCTCATGCCCACTTGGTGTATAGGAGGCTCATCCCCACCAACTGCATTCTGCCAACAGGCCGCAGATCCTGCACCATCCCCATGTAGTTCCTCCAGGCCCGAAGGACCCGCGGTCCAGGCAGATGTGCTGGCTGTGGCGGGCCTGTCAGGCTGCAGATGCCAGGGTCCCTGAGCACTGGCATCCCCTCCTGGGGTCTTGGTAACCAAGGGCTTGCTTTTCCTGATGGAGGTCACCTTGGGAAACGTCAGGTGCTTCCCAGGTTCCTGTGAAGACTTGCAGGAATGGCGGGGTGGGCTGGGCTGTGGAATAGCTTGGGCACTGGCAGAGGCAGAGGTGCCAGAGCCCTTCTCCGCCCCATCCACTTCCCCAGCCCCAGTTCTGACCTCGGGGCTCTGTGCTCTTTGGCTTCCCATGGGGTGAAGGATCCAGGCCTTGGATATGTCTTCAGGACCAGGGCCCAGAAACCTAGCAGCATGCTTCCTGTCTGCCCTAAGCAGGTTTTTTTCTGCAACATCCCCTGTGCTCCTCTTGCCCTGGGTGGGCTCCTGGGAACAAGTCTTTTTGCCCAGGGGCCTCTTTAGGGAGGTAGTTTGAGGGAATAGAGCTACCTCAAATTCTGCTGCTTTGGCCCCGTGGCAAAGAGTTCCATCATCACCTCCCAGTCCACTGACAGCAGGCAGCTCATACTCACTGCCACAAGTTTGTGGTTTCCCAGCCCTGGTTGATTCACAGGGGGTTGCTCCAGCACTGCAGGGAGATGGTGGTCTTTGCTCTAGAAATTCGGACTGTGTTTCTGAAAGAGGACCTGCTTTCCTCTTGGTGACCTGTAGACCTTTCTGCTCAACAGCTATAATGATGAGTGTGCACCTGCCCCTAGAGGTGTGTACTTTGGGCTTTAGCTTCAGGCCCTCAGGAGAGTCCTGGGCACCACCCTCCAGTCCCTGGTCACACTCATCCCCGCCACTGCAATGAGACACAGTGGCTGCTGTGGTTTCCAAAAATTCCTGCAAGGCATTTTCGGTGAAGTTGGGGTCTAGAACCATCACGTCTTCTACTTCCTTTGCAGTATCTGTTGCACTTGTTTTCAGGGTAGTCTCTGGAGTGACTAAATAATCACTCCCTTCGCAGCAAAGCATCCAGTGTCTGTTCCTCACCTGTGACCCATTATTGCTAGAATGATGTGGAAACTTGGCCCTAACAGGTGGCTTTCTTTTCTCACTGAGAATGTACTTTGATCTGTAATTACTGGTTTGGTTTCCTGCCTCAACAGAAATGTCCTGAAGGTAGTTTTGCCTGTCACTCACATCAGCATTGTTTGGTGAAGGGCCAGTGCTTTGGGATTCCTCCTGTAGACTTTCTAGGCTGTGTTCCGACTTGCACTGTGTAGGCACTGGCACTTCCTCTGTGTTAAGGCTCACAGACTCGGCAGTAAGGCATGAAGAGACTGGGCAGGATCTAGAATCCTGTCCCAACTGGTTTTCCAGCCAGAGAAATTCACAGGGTGTGTTCTGAAAGGCCCTTTTCCAGCTAGGAGCCCTGGGTTTATCCTGGACCTGCAAGTAAGGGGCCCTTCTTTGGAAAATAGAAGGCAAAGGAGACATCTGGGTGAGAACAGGGTGAAGAGGGTTTTGTGCTCTTGTATCTTGTTCTGCTCCCATTCCTTCCTTCAAATGAATCCCAAATTTCACAAAATTCTGTCCTGGAGGATTCTCAGGATATCTTAAGGGAAACACTGCTATGGAATGGGCCCTTGTCAGTGTCCTCATGTGCTGATAGCAGTGCTCTGGGGATGTCCTGTCCTTGTCATTAATATTTTCTGGGGCACTATGGTGAAGCTTGCCATATGCAAGATAAGAGGTTCCCAAAGGAATCTGGCAAGGGACATCAGAGCAAGGCTTGGTGCAGAGCAAGTCTATGTTGTCTTTGGGGCCTAGAATATTTCCCTTCTTTGTCTTGGCTCCCAAAGGGGTGGTGTTGTGCAGTGGACCTCTGTAAGGCAGCCCTGGACCCCTGGCCCTGTTATGGATATGTGGCCAGCTCTGGCCCAGTTCACAGCACCAGAGAAGGAAGGGCCAGACTACTGGGATGTCCAGACAACTCTCAGACCTGGATTTATGAAGGGAAAAAATAGAGAATCCCCTGAGGTCTTGAGCAGTCACCACTTTTGCGGGCTGGAGACTATAGCTGCCCGTGGTATTCTGTGAGCAGCACTTTGTGTGATGAGGAGACCCTACCAGCAAAGACTCTAGCTGTAGGCTGGCCATGCCATTGTCCTGGAGGTGTTCTGTCTTCTCTTCTCCAGCAACTGCAGCAAAGGCTTGAAACCCACTTTTGTAAGATTCTTCCTTGGAGTCAAGGGACAACTCTAGGTTCTCCTTTGGGTCAAGCCCAGGGACACCAGTTGAATGCTGTTCGTGAGGAGGTGTGGTTGCTGGAATGTCAGGGCATCCCCAGTGTCCTTCTCTGTCCACAGAGGTACCACTTCGAGGAAGGCAGAGTCCCCCCGTGAGGTCACCAGGCAGGGACTCTGTGTCAGAAGCACTTTCGAAGGGGTTGGTTTTTGTGTCTGAATAACTTTTGCTATGGTGGGACAGTGTCTCAAAATCATCGTGGTCTGTTTTCTGGCTCTGTCCCCATTCCTCTGGTTCTGCAGGAGAAGTGGGGAGCTGCTTGTCTTCAATCTTGTCTTCACCTGGCAGGTGTGCACCTGGCTCTGGAGTCTGGAAGGGCAAGAAGAGAGGAGTCAGAGACAAGGCCTCAGGATATTTGCACACATGTTTACACTGCACCAGCCTTTGTCAGAAGGAGGAAGGTTCAGAAACATCTCATTAGTTCCCCATGTGCACCTAGGAAAAGAGAGGTAAAGATGAAGAGCTACCTTTTATTAACACAGGAAATAAGGAATGAAGCCAAACCCAAACAGTAAGGAGAAAATATAGCACATAGTTAAAGGCGACCCTATTGAAAAATCAGAATAGGACAAATGAGCATGTACAGCTGAAGTAAGTATAAATGTGTTGTGTGAGTCATGATGAAAAGCATATCTCTGCCTAATGTTTTCATCAGGAAAGAACACATTAATATATGTTTTTTTTGTGTTGCTTGTTGTTATGTAACCAACTGGATTAAAGTCAGCACTCTTACACTTAGAAGTGTTTTCTGAGTTATGTTTCCTGGAGTTAAAAAAAAAATACAAGAGTTATTGAATTTCAAGTGCTTTTTGCGATACTATTTCAAACACATTTTGTGATATTATAAATGCCCAAGACAGTTTTGAGAATAGGAAGAAAAATAGAGAACTGTGCAAGTATTTGCAAATTTTCCTTTTGTCATTATGCATTTTTTAAAAATTATTTTAGAGAGAGAATGGAGGGAGGCGCAGGTTGTGGGGGAGTCCCAGGCAGACTCCCCGCTGAGCACAGAGAACAACCTGGGGCTCTATCCCATCACCCTGAAATCATGACCCGAACCGAAATCAAGAGTTGGATGCTCAACTGACTGAACCACCCAGGCACCCCTGTCATTACATATTTCTTAATCAACTTGTTGAGATATAAATTTATATGCATCTGTTTAAAGTGGATGGATCTATGCATTTTGACAAATGTGGACACCCATGTAACTACTATCATGATAAAAATTTAGAGTAATTTTTATTTCCTAAAAAAAAAAAAAAGCCCCTTCCCCCTCCCAGTCATTCTGTACCTCCCCAATGACCTGCTCTCTGTCACACAGTCTAGGTCTGCCTTTTCTGGAATTTCAAATGACCAGAATATGCAGTATGTACTTTTCAGTGTCTGACTTGTTTCTTTCAGGATAATATTTTACAGTTTCATCCACATATCACAGTTGTAGCAAGTATTAAACAATACCTTGAATGTGGTGATAATGCCGCACCTAACTTTCTTTTTTTCTTTTTTTAAGATTTTATTTATTTATTTGAGAGAAAGAGACAGCACAAACAGAGGAAGAGGGAGAAGCAGGCTCCCTGCTGAGTGGGGAGCACGATGCGGGTCTCAATCCCAGAACCCAGGGATCATGACCTGAACCAAAGGAGCCGCTTAACTGGCTGAGCCATCCAGGCACCTCTGCTCCCAACCTTCAATCATCAACTCCCCAAAGACTCCTTAGATCAGGAGTGGAGCAAGCAGTTGGCCAAGTTGTAGCCAGGTTTTGTACAGAAGCCATTTACTCAACCAGCTCTTCCTAAGCATGGTTTCTCAGGACTTGTCATAAGAGATTTCCCAAAGCAAATGTTTTTAATTACTCCTTAACCGAGTGGAGAAAAACAAACACCAAATCTTGCAATGTGAAGCTTCTAAGGCAATAGATAGATTCAGAACATCAGGAATGATGATACTATAGTTTCAAATTTGTTGCAGAGCAGAAAGGAATCAGAAGTAGGAAAGGAAACATTTACAATTAAACCATTTGGAAAGGAGGGCTGTGCACTTGCTGTGTGGTAACCGGGGGAGATGGGCACTTAGGAAGCCTGGGTCTCCCAGGGTTCCCAACAAGTACGCAGGGCCACAGTCACCCATGTCCCAGGTGCTGGGCACTGCCCACAGACCTTCCAGTATGAGCAAGGTATGGATGTGCCTTGGCAAGCACAGAGGCCCACTGACAGCCCTGCAGCAAGCTCCTGCTCCCTCAGTGCGGCCTTTGGAGCACCTCCATTCCCTTATCTCACCAACTGTGGTATTAAATCAGGAACTGACTTCCTGACAACAGAGCATGTGAGTGGCCCTTTCAGCACTGTTATAGCTCGACATCTCTTTACAGACTTACAGTGGCATCAATAGTCAGGAGCTTCAGGCCCAGAGGATTCCGCAGTCCCACATTCCAAATGACCAGTGATCTGGAAAATGACCACCCCCAGATGCCAGAGGTCTCATTCCTGCCCCTACCCCTGCTCAACATCACCTCCCAGAACCCTGTGAGTAAGGGGATGGGCTGCCGCCAAGAAACTGGATTCCCTGGCTGGGTGTTGTTGATGGTCGGGCATTTCTTTGAGTTCCAGGTTATTTTGGCAAAAGGTCTCACTCTGCCTCAGTGAAAATAAAAGCCTTTGGGG